CTATCATCTATCCATTATCCTATCTATTATCTATCTATCTATCTATCTATCTATCTATCTATCTATCTATCTATCTATCTATCTATCTATCCATCCATCCTCATCCCTATCATCTATCTATATCTATTATCTCATCTATCTGTCCATCCATTATCCATCCATCTCTATCCATCCATCATCTCATCCATCCATCCTCATCCATCTATCATCTTATATCTATCATCTATCCATTATCCTATCTATTATCTATCTATCTATCTATCTATCTATCTATCTATCTATCTATCTATCTATCTATCTATCTATCATCTCTATCCATCCATCCATTATCCATCCATTATCCATCCATCTATCTCTATCCATCCATCCAAATAAATGAAAATGAACAAATCAATCAATCTGCTATAATCCTCATTCTCATCATCTATATATTTTTCTCACAATTTCTCATCATTTAGTTTATAAACTTATATCTAAGTAAATTGAACTAATCTCCTTGAATCTTCACTTTCTAACATAAAGGTATGCTTACGTATATTTAAAAAAAATATTCTCTACCTCACATAATTTCTCATCGTCTATATAAATATTTTTATAAACCTATATCTAATTGAATCAATCAATCAATCTCCATTGGCTTTGCCTGTCAGAAGGTTGCAAAAGGGGATCACATGACCCGAGGACACTGCAACAATCATAAATGTGAAGCAGTTGCTAAAACCCCGAATTTTGATCCCGTGACCACGGAGGACGCTGCAATGGTCCCGAAGAGTTTCCCTCAGCATTTCCCCAAAGCGTTTCCTTTGCGGAGTGCAACCGCCGCCAAAGGGCCTCACCCAACAGCACCACGTGTTGGTCGCTCTCCCGCTTCGCCTCTCTAAGGGGGGGTCTCTGCCAGCTTTCCAGGGGAGCCTTCTCCGTCAAGTGGTCCTTCTCCAAGAGGCTGACGGCCTGAAACAGAAGAGAGAGTCCCAGCCCTTCAGTTGAGCAAGAGAGTTTCAGGGCACGCGGGCTGAGGGACACTTCTGGATGCCTTTGGAGCGAGAGGCTGACCCTGCAGTGTTCCTGGCCATGTTGTCGGACACTGTTTCCCTTGGTTTCTCTGGGCGGAGAAAGAGGGAGGGGCCCTGGGTCACCCACTTGACCTCATGCCCAGAGCAGAATTAGAACTCAAGGTTTTCCAGTGCGTTGACTGGAGCTTTTGTCCACTGAATCAAATTGGCTGCCCTCACAACGCATTAGCCAAATTGGCTCTTCTAACTTCCCAATATTCTTTCTATAACCTTAGTTTTATTTATTTCTTCCTGCCTGACATCCCATTCCCTTTCTCTCTTCCCTTTCGCCCCGCTTTTTTCATTCCTTTCTTTTTCTTAACTCTTTCCTTCTTTCTTCTCCATTATCTCTTTCCTTTCCCTTCCATTCCCTTTCCTTCCTCCCACATCCCCTTCCTTTCTTCTCCATTCTTTTCCTTTCCTCTTTTCTTTCCCTTTGCCCATCCATTCTCTTCCCTCCTTTTTCCTTTCCTTTTTTTCATTCCTTTCTTTTTCTTTACTCTTTCCTTCTTTCCTCTCCATTCTCTTTACTTTCCCTTCCTTTCTTTTTCCTCTTTCCTCTTTTCCTTCCTCCCTCCTTCCCATCCACCATCCCTTTTCTCTTTCCCCTTTTCTTCTTTCCCTTCCTTTCTTTTGTTCCTCTTTCCTTTCCCTTTCCTTTTCTTTCCTCTTTTCTTTCCCCTTGCCTATCCGTTCCCTTCCTTCCATCCTTTCCCTTTCCTTTTTTTCATTCCTTTCTTTTACTTTATTCTTTCCTCCTTTCCTCTCCATTCTCTTTCTTTCCTTTCCCTCTCCTCTTCCCTTTCTTTTTCCCTTTCCTTTTATTCCTCTTTCCTTCCCTGTTTGCTTTTATTCCCCTCTCCTTTCCTTTTTTCCTTTTCCTTTCCCCTTCTCCCCCTTCCCTTCTGCCCAATCCACCTTTCCATCCCCCACCTACCTCTCCACAGACAGCCTGGCCGAGGTGGCGCAGTGGTTAAATGCAGCACTGCAGGCTACTTCAGCTGACTGCAGTTCTGATCTCACCGGCTCAGGGTTGACTCAGCCTTCCATCCTTCCAAGGTGGGTAAAATGAGGACCCGGATTGTTGTTGGGGGCAATATGCTGACTCTGTAAACCGCTTAGAGAGGGCTGAAAGCCCTATGAAGCGGTATATAATTCTAACTGCTATTGCTATTCCCTTCTTCCCACCCACCGAGAGACAAACCCCCCCACCACAGGGGCATCCCCCTCACCTGCTCTTCCTGGCCTTTGCTCTCTTCCTCTCGCAGCAGGAAATCCTCCGCCAGGATCACAGCCTGGGTGCAGGTCAGAGGGCGACACTCCCGCACCCAGCCTTGCAGTTCCGGGGGCAGGATGGCCAGGAACTGCTCCAGCACCACCATCTCCAAGATCTGCTCCTTGGTGTGCTGCTCCGGTTTCAGCCACTGGTGGCAGAGCCTTTGGAGGTGATAGCAGGCTTCCCGAGGCCCATTGGCTTCCTGGTAGCCGAACTGCCGGAAGAGGCAGCACTCCTCGTTCCAGCTGATGGCCTGATGGCCCCGGGGAAGCCTGGCACCCTTCGGACCATGGAGCCTCTTCGGAGGCGCCATCCTGTGGGCTTCTCCACTCAGGCTGATTGTGAGCTGGGTCCCTCGCTCGGCTCGAGGCTGCTGGGGGCAACTGGCTCTCCTTCGGAAGGAGGCCGGGAACGGGCGAGGGTCGCTTCTGGGAAGAGGCGTCCGAGGCTGTGGGCTTCCCCCTTCCAAGGAAGGAGCTTCCAGAACCTTCAAGAATTCCTGCAGCTGAGACTCCCAGCGTTGCTGCAGGTTCCTGCAAGGCTCCGGGGTTGTTTTCTCGGGATCCGCCCTCTCCCAGAAATCCTGGATGCGGCCTGTGGGAATCAGGCGGGAGCCCGGGCCCACTCCCTTCTCTTTCGTGGCCCCCGCCAGGAGCCGTTCTCCCATCTGCGTCCCTTTCCCTTGCTCGGCCTTCAAAGGACTCGGAGCAGATTTCTCCCTGAGCTCCGCCGCCATTTTCTTTCTCTGGGCTACAGTCGACGGGATTGATGCTCCTGCGAGTGATGGCAACGCTGCCCCTGTCTCAGGAGAAAATTGGCATGGAGATCAAAACCAAAGCAATCTCGAGTTACTAAAACAACAGACAGAACTAAAAGCGAGAAAAAAGAGTGGGAAGAAAAAATATAGAAACTACAAAAACAAGAAAAAGAAAAAGCTAGGCGAATGAGTGGAAAGAAAAGAATATAAGAGAGGTGGAGTTCCTGAAAGACTTAAGAGAAAATGGTTGAAAGGAGGAAAGAAGGAAAAGGATTTACTAGAAGAATAGAATGAAATACGGTAATGCTGCCAATGTTATACAGCTAATATGATGTGAGAGAAATCACATCATATTAATTGTGGACAATTAACTAAGTGAAATGTTTACTGTTGTGGCCCAGCAGGAGCCGTTGGAGCTGCCACCAGACGCCGACAGCGAGGGGCCCTATGAGTCGGCTCTGGAGGACGTGGAGGACCCTGGACAGGATTCTGACTCTGAGCAGGGCGCAGAGAGACTGGTTGGCTACCAGGCGGCGCCTGAGCCTTGGACTAGTGGGGAGGAGACAAGGGAGAGTGAGCCGGACGCCAGCAGTGAGTTGTTCCTGGATGCACGCCATCGTAGAGCTACTAGGCTCAGGAACAATTACTTAATTACAGGAGGTAATTGCGCTCAGCTGGTGGTCATTAGGCTCCTCTCCAGACTATAAAAAAGACTGCTGGTGCACAGGGCCCTCTTGCAGTAGTCAACGCATTGACTAAACAGAATTATTGTAACTAACTTGGCAGGCTGGATTGCTGCCAAGGTTGTCTGAGTTGCTGCCAAGGTCCTTATCTGTTTGTTTGCTTGGC